TAATTAAGATAGTTTTATAGTATTCAATCTTTGGATTGACTTTTTAAATATTCATTATGTACTTTCTCTTGTTGTTCGTATTGTTTAGTTAATTTCTTGACTTGTTTGTTGCTGAGTTTTTCGCCTTTTGCATCATGCGTTGGTATTCCCTGCAATAAATACAAAGTAATGCTTACATTTATATAAAGTAGCATTTATATAAGCACAGATGTGTAGGCTGCATGAAAAAAAAAACATTTTTGAAAATAGATTCACAAGAATTTATTTTTTGAAATTGTTATTAAGTTTATGACTTTTTACAAAAAACACATTTTTTTATAGAAACATGCAGTGGTCCTATTCCATTTATAACGTGGGCAAATAAAAACAAAACAAAACAAAAAACACATATTCATATATTTGTTTTTTTAAATATTTGTTGTGCCAGGCGACAAGTTTCCAGACACAATCTATAGTTGTTGCCATGGTTACCAATCCTTAAACTTACCCGATCATCAAACTGAGAGTACTGATCATTCAAATTTGAAAACAGCTCTGATGGCGGAATACGCCGCTGAGCTTCTTTGGCTGCTTGGCGTTCTCGTTCTTTTTGTTTAGCTTCTTCTTTCTTCCTTTGTTTTTCCTCTGCTAGCTGTATAGACAAATTGAACATTAATTTTTTCGAAATCATTGGCTAAAATGGTGATTAACTTTAATTAACATTTGAATGTTAACAATAATGGTTCTTTCACCAGTCAATCAATGTTAAAATTATCATACTGTTAATCTCATCAAAGTTAGACATTTAATTAGAGTGTTGCACTGCACTCAATTGAAATTAGCAAACAATGTACCGGTACATGTGGTGTATACGTTTCATAGAAATTGTATCAAACAAACATGACTAAATACACAACTTTAACAATGAAAACCGATTAGATTACTACACATGTACTGGCAAATTGTAAATACAAGAGTTAAGCAAGAGTCTAGAACAGTAATTACACAGTGTACCTTTTTCATTTGTTCTTTTTCTTTCATTAACGTTTCTCGATCAACGAGTTTAACCACAGTGGGCTGCCCTTCATGGTCCTCTAGCCTCACACCTAATTCTGGTAAAATATCGTCTCGAACTTCATCACACAACTTTAAAACTTCAACAACTGTTGAAAAAAAAGGGTCCCAGAATGTCAGTTAAGCTTAATATAGACACAGTTCATAACCCAGTATTTTAAAATGTATTTTATCATTTCAACCACAACCAAAATGTACAGTGATTTTCACAGCTGATTGGATTTCATTTGAACTCATTGGAACATTTTTACTATAAACTTGGAAATACTACATAATCATTTCATATTCAGATTTCCTAATTAGTAAAAATGCAGATACTCTATGCAATACAACTAAAATACAACACACTGTAAATACAATGAAAAATATATGATAATATAAAACATATGAAGCCAAATGCTACCCATAATTATGTATCACAGCATTTCTAACAAACTTCAACATATCCTACTTTAATGCATTGACAATTTTTTTCCTCATTCTAACAAGAAAAAAATCAGTGACAGTAGAAATATGTGGAAATATGTTTTCATTTATATTATTTCACCACAAAGAGATAATCCATTTACATTACCTTTTTGTTCTCTCGCCACTTGTCGCACCTTATCTCGGAAATCGGCGAATACCTTGACATACGGCATTACTGTATCTTCCACCTGTTTTATAATGTAATGAAGCAGACAGGTTATAAATCAATAGTTGATACCAGGATAGTTTATTAATTTAATTTACATAATGCTATTATGATAGAATGACAGTTTTATATATAGCCCTGTCACATAGTCTAAAACATGGATATGCACTGTACATAAAACAAAAGTCAGGGTAAGCTAAAAACAAGCAGCCTCTCGGCTGAGATAGCTCCGCTGTTAGCAATGCACATTTCAATTAAAGAACAGATATCATTAGAAAATGAACAATATGTATAGTATCAAAACAATCAGACTTTCGGTTTTCAACAAGAAGTGGAAAATATCACTTTTTACCAAAAACTACAAAAATATTCATCAAAATTAGAGAATTGAAGATATCATTACAAAATGAACAAATCTGAGAGAGGTCCACTGTAGTACCTATATATGTAATATCAAAGCAATTGGACTTCAGGTTTTTAACAAGAAGTCAAAAATATCACTTTTTACCAAAAATTACAAAAATATTCACCAAAATTAG